TCAACTTATTTTTACAATGGCGTTATTATAGAACAATCAAATATAGAAGAACTTAAAGAAAACTGATTATTGATGTGTTGTTTTTTAGTTTAAACTATTTTGATAGTTTTGAAAAGCGAAAAGAATAAAAAACGATGAAATGTTTGATGAATTTAATTGTTCAATAAGCTCCTCTATTGTTCATGGTAAATGATATATATTGAATTTATCTAGATTTTTTATTTATGTGTAGCGGTCGTAATCTTTTAGTTGAACATGTGCTGAAAATGTAAATTAAGAATTGTTGAAATTTGGTAAAATTAGTAGTTTAGAATACTATCACATCATGTACTATATTCAAAAAGTCAATGGGATCCTCATATTATCAAATCACTCCATTAAACCCCCAACTGTTAAAAATGTTTCATTTTACATTTTCGTCGGTTTATGATGAATATTACCGGTAACCATTGATCTGGACATGTATGTGGTATTAGTTTTTTTATACTTTTCTGTCTTTCTTCGTGCTCCCTTCCTTTCCCCCCCTCGTATAGTCGTATGACTGCAACCTTTTTCTCTTTCTTTCGTTCTTTCCTTCTTTCTTTCTTCTCCTTGTTCGGTTTCTTTCTCGGTTCTTCCTTGCTCTCGATTCCATGTTCTCCAATGAACTCGCTGCCAATTATCTCAAGACCTAATGCATTTCTTGATGGGCTTGCTGCCCATCTCAAGAACTTAACGCGATTGTCGATGAATTTTCCACCCATCTCAAGACCTTACGCAATGATTGTCGATGAATTCACCGCCGATCTCATGATCCAAGAACTCTACCACTCTTCCTCTTTTTGGGATCCATATATGTAATTATCGATGAAGAGCGATGAGGGAACAAGCATTGTGAACCTTAATGACATTGTTGTGTATGTTGCCGAAGTAGGCTGTCGGCGTTTATTGCCAGAGTTTGCCATCGACTTTGAGGAGTTGCACAATACTAGCGCCCAATGGGGGGAGAAAAGATATACTACCTCAGTCTCATTGAGATTGGGACGAGAGAAGGTGGCACGATTATTAAGAAAAGTGGGTTTGTAAGGTTGATATTAAATTGATAAAGTAAGAACAAAGTAAGAATGATTTAGAGCAACACAATCTTTACCAAATTTGGTATGGGACAATCTTAGTAGGACTTCCCGAAAAGGTAAAATGGGATAATCTTAGCGGGATGAAAGGAGTACTACTCATTGTTCAAATGCACATAGAAAAAAGCATTAACATTTGTGTGTGTAAAACACAAAATACAAACTTCTACACAACACACAACTATATAGTTCATATTTGAAGATATACCTAATCTTTACTTATGAATTGTCTTGTTGATTGTCTTACACTTGTGCATGCGTTAGTAATTCTCACTTGTCCATTATAGTATGTTGTAGTTGTTTCATGCACTTGAGCAGTAATCTGAATATTTGTTGGTAATAGTCCTTGCCTTTTCAGTTTGTCATCTGGACCTATTAGATTCTTTACAAATACTAAACGGATTAATATGACCCTTTTTAAAGTAGATGGGTTTAGTTGACGATTTCGGGATAGTAGGAGGGCCTATTTGGCCCTTTTCCCTTTATTCTTTCATGAGTTCTCATCTTGAGGAGGACATTCACATCTTGACTTCTTTACAAAAACAAATTTTTTCTATTTAACCTTTTTTACTTAGTATCGCTTTCTCTAATCCTCTCGTCTTTTTTCTTTATCCTATCTAGATTCAATCATTTTTATTACACTTTGAAGTTGATTAGATTTACAAATTTAACTATAATTGAAAACTTCTTTGGCCTTTTTATTTCAATATTACTAAAATGAAACAAAAAAACAAAAATGTGACCTCTTTTGAATTTTTCCAAAAAAGTGACTAAAAGTCATTTATCTTTTTATATACTCCCTCCGTCCCTAATAACTTTGCCAAGTTTGACCGGCACGAGGATTAATAAAGTAAAAATTGTGTGGTTTAGATTTGTGTAGAGGAGAGAGAATTAACTGAAACCACAAATTCTTTACTTAAAAGGGAAAGTGGCAAAGTTAACGGGACATCCAAAAAAGGAAAGTTGGCAAAGTTATAAGATACGGAGAGAGTATTTGATTAGTAGTCCATATTCTGTAGCCACCAGCACATCTGTGGCCGTCACCGGCACCGCTGCCGCCGTCACCGACACCACCGTCGTTGCCAGTCACTATCTCAGTGACTCTGGTCAAAGTGACTCGGCCGTCACAGTGACTCCGCCGCAACAGTGACTCCGCCGTCACAGTGACTCTGCCGGCCACAGTGACTGCCCGCCCACTGTATCCATTGCCGGTCACTATGATCGACGAAAAAGTAAAATTTAATCAAATCCGGCCACTTCCCCCGATAGCACCGCCGCCGTCGCATTCACCGTTGCTGACCAAACCTGCCCTTCAGTGACCACACTCCACCATCAATCCCCATCCACACCATCATCAGTGTCCCACCACACACAGAGTCACTATACCGCCACCTACCGCCACCATCTCACCAACTCCGGTCGCCGCCACAACATTTCGGCCACCGCCGTCTGGCCAACTGGGCTTGCCGCCGCCGTCGACAATCCCTAACCCACCCAGTCCCTAGCCCTCTGATTCCTCTCTAGCTCAAGCCTCATCCCAGCCTCCCGACCTGTCCCCAACCAGGCAACCACCCTCCCTCCTCCCCAGCTCCAGCTCCGACCAACCTTACCCCGGATCCCACCCTCCCCAACTCGGATCTATCCGAGTCCCCAACCTCACCTCAGCCCCCTGCATGACCCCATCCCCCAGCCTAACCCTTTACCCTGCCTCAACCCTGCCCCCAGGCCGACCACAGGCCTTACCCGATGCCCTGCCTCACCCAGCCCAGCCCTCCCTCGCCACTACCAGCACCCTACCCTAGCTCGCCGCCGCAATAACCGCACCCCATCGCCCACCACCGGCCAACTACCCGACCACCGCCCAACCCTAGCTTGAAATCATAGTCGTCCAGATTAGATCTGGAATGCAGGCGCCACAATTAAACCCTAGCCGACGTAAATGGAGCTTTAGCATTGCTGGTCGCCTGTAATCTCCCTACACTAAATAGAGAGAGAAGAGAAAGAAGATCGGCGTGGTCGGTGACGGCTAAGAACGACGATGGGAGGAGGAAGAAGTTCGTGCAAGAGAGAGAGAGCATGGATTGGGACTGCAGGATTGGAGATGGTGGTGCGCTGGCATAGGCGCATTGGCATAGGCTCCCTCATGCGATGGAGATGGGATGTGATAAAATATCATTTTTTTGTCGAGATCTATTCTAGTCATATTTTTGTCAATATATCCACGCCATTCTTTCAACTTTTTTCTAACAAACACTCAATACTCAATAGATAACATGCTCATAAATTTGTATAAAAAAAACCACCGGAAAACAACTCAAAAAATTTCACCTAAAAAGTTATTAATGCGAGGTTGAAGAATCAACCTACTCATACATGTTATAAAGAAATAAATGTGAGCCTAATTGGTTTTCATTTTTTTGAGCATAGGGCCCCAGCCCCTAGCCACGGAGGTAGTATTTGTTTACTTGTTAATTGTAGGTTGCAATGGCCAAACGAGTTGCACATCCAAGATCTCAGGATGGTTCTGTGTTAGCTATGATACCCGGTGAGTATCGTGCTGATCGTGTGTGGCACGGATCAGCATTTCGAGACAACAAACTGAAGTGCCATCACTATTCATCGTGTGCCGACGATGAGGGTCCGCGTCATCCTGGGGTGGTATGGTTGTTGAGAGTATTTGGATTTCACGGTGTCGAGAGAATAGGACAACTGTAGTTAGATTGGTCCCTTATCTCTGAATACATACTTACTCACTGTACAACTGCAGTTAGATTGGTCCCTTATTTCTAAACCCTAAAAAAATACTTTATCAAATAAGAATATTGTCGATCAGATAAAATATCTCTGAATACATACTCACCCACTCCACAACTAACCCCATTATTTTCAACTACCTCATCTACCAAACAAAGCCATTTATTTTACCCCCTCTAACACTCACTATAAAATCAAAAGTTCACGCACTGATTCTTATCACTCACATCTCTCATTTCTATAACACCATCAAATTCCCCACCCAAAAATAGTACTTTAAATGATACTTTGTTTATAAAAAAATATTCAGTTTTATTTAAAAATCATCAGAGTTGGATTAGTGTAAAAACACGAAATGGAATTTGAGTGTGTTACCGCCACACTTAGTAGTATTCTCCAAAGCACATATAGTTTTCAAAATATTACCTCTTGTTCAAAACAATTATTAATATTTAAATAGCATTTATAATTCTTAAAAATTAACTTGTATAATTCGAAATCACGCATTTGTAATTAGAGTAATATTTAAACACTTTAAATAACTCAATTCACCATATAGGAGTAAAATAACATTATAGTTAAAATAACATTCATAGGATCTAAATAAAATATTCCTCCAAATATCTCATTCTCAAAATATCCTTTCTGAGATTTATTTTAACTCTTTTTTATTTAAACGCGTGAAATTATTGAACTGTATTTGTAATTGCTTTTGAGTTAATAAGAACAAATGGGTCAAGTATTTTTAAAACTTGTCACATTGCTTGAATACATCGATACCATTATTATCAAAATGTGCGATATTCTTTAAATATGGAGTATAACTTTACTATTTTTGTTGCTTAATTAAATGGGTTGAATTTTTGTTAAAATTGAAATTCAATCTCAAATTCATATTTTAATTTAAAGAACAAATATTTTACAATTTTTATTTTGGTTGAATAAGTTATCCATCTAAATTTACAATGTCAATCTCAAATTCATATAACTTTTTTTTTGAAATAATTCATATAATAAGTTACCATTCAATTTTTAATATTTTACAAACAACAACAAAAGTTTTTTCAAAAAAAAAAAAAGTAGTTGTTCGGATAAGTGTAATCCGTCCAACCTAAAATGCATCCCACTAACCCATTCTTTGCTGCATTGTTTATAAAATTTGGAAAAAAAAAAAAAAATAGTACTTGGGATGACAAGAATTCGAAACAAATCTGACAGAATAAATTTTCAGAAAACCCTTAAAAATAACAAAAAATGGAATGGAATGTTAGGGTTCTACCCTTATCCGTCAAACACTCGACAAACAACCCCAGCAGAATAATGGTATCTTGCACCAGTTTCGCTAGTTGAAAGTTCGGATTCAGGAGCTATGGTTTCTCCCCAAGTTGTGGGTGAGGCGTTTGTTCATCGGTATTATGATATACTGCGCCTCTCTCTCCCGAAATCGTCTACAGGTTTTACCAGGATAGCAGCAAACTGGGCCGCCCCGAAGAAGACGGATCTATGAGCTGCACCACCACTCTGAAAGCAATCAATGACAAGATACTCTCCCTTCACTGTGACGGCTTAAGAGTTGAAGTGAAGTCTATTGACGCCCAGGATTCATTCTATGGAGGAGTGTCTGTTCTTGTCACTGGATACCTCATTGGGAAGAACAATCAGGCCCGAAGCTTCTCACAGACTTTTTTTCTGGCACCCCAACAGAGATGGTACTTTGTTTTGAATGACATGCTTCGATATGTGGAACCAAATGGCATCCCAGCAGATCAGAATAGAGATGTGCCTTTAGTTATAAACCAAGTACCAGATGACATGCTTCCATGTGTAGAAACAGTCCATCAACGTGACACACCAGCAGAGGAGGAACCAAATGCAGAAGTGGACACAGGGGAGGAGGCCCTAGGGGGCTGGGGCCCTATGCTCAAAAAAATAAAAAACAATTAGGCTCAAATTTATTTCTTTATAACATGTATGAGTAGGTTGATTCTTCAACCTCACATTAATAACTTTTCAAGTGAATTTTTTTAGTTGTTATTCGGGTGGTTTTTTTGATACAAATTTATGAGCATGTTATCAATTGAGTGTTTGATAGAAAAAAGTTGAAAGAATGACATGGATATCACTTATGAGCTTTCAATTGACAAAAATATGACTAGAATAGATCTTGACAAAAAAGTGATATATTATCATATCCCATCTCCTGCGCTACTTCTTTCACGCATGCAGCTCCTTCGCCCAAGCCACAGCCCACAACAGATCTCCATCGCATGAGATACGGTGGGCGGGCAGTCACTGTGGCCGGTAGAGTCACTGTGACGGCGGAGTCATTGTGGCGGCGGAGTCACTGTGACGGCCGAAGTCACTTTGACCAAAGTCACTGAGATAGTGACTAGCAACGACGGTGGTGCCGGTGACGGCGGCGGTGGTGCCGGTGACGGTGACGGCCACGTATGTGCTGGTGGCTGCAAAATATGGACTACTAATCAAATACTCTCTACGTATCTTATAACTTTGCCAACTTTCCTTTTTTGGATGTCCCGTTAACTTTGCCACTTTCCCTTTTAAGTAAAGAATTTGTGGTTTCAGTTAATTCTCTCTCCTCTACACAAATCTAAACCACAAAATTTTTACTTTATTAATCCTCGTGCTAGTCAAACTTGACAAAATTATTAGGGACGAATGGAGTATATAAAAAGATAAATGACTTTTAGTCACTTTTTTGGAAAAATTCAAAAGAGGTCACATTTTTGTTTTTTGTTTCATTTTAGTAATATTGAAATAAAAAGGCCAAAGAAGTTTTCAATTATAGTTAAATTTGTAAATCTAATCAACTTCAAAGTGTAATAAAAATGATTGAATCTAGATAGGATAAAGAAAAAAGACGAGAGGATTAGAGAAAGCGATACTAAGTAAAAAAGGTTAAATAGAAAAAAATTGTTTTTGTAAAGAAGTCAAAATGTGAATGTCCTCCTCAAGATGAGAACTCATGAAAGAATAAAGGGAAAAGGGCCAAATAGGCCCTCCTACTATCCTGAAATCGTCAACTAAACCCGTCTACTTTAAAAAGGGTCATATTAATCCGTTTAGTATTTGTAAAAAATCTAATAGGTCCAGATGACAAAAAAACGACCCATTATTCCCAGTTTAATCGGACGTGACTGGTGCATATGCTAAATGTGGAACTTTTTCCACGTGAGGACCCGGTGGCAACTTAATAGAAGGTGCGAAAAGTTAATGTTCTTTCATCATCGTACAATTTGAAATTAGGGTTCTTCAGCATGCTTTTGAAGTTATCTCCCCCGTCTGGTCATCTGTGAGAAAGTCCAAAGATTATATTTCTGGTTGTGGAGAAGGAGACCATAGGCATCTAGAAGTTTAGATTTTTTTGATTTGAATAGAGCGAAAGTAAAGACCGACCATCTTCACGAAGCTCAAGTAACTGACCTTAACGTGTTTTGACTTTGACAATGGCAGTCATCTTCCTTGACATTATTATTTATTTTCAGATTGTATGAAGTAGCAGATTTGAAAATACATCATGGCGGAAATTTAAAAAAAACACCAGAACTTTCTTATGTGAATGGTGAAGTGGGTACTATTACATTGGACTCGGATATGATTTCATTTCCTCATCTCATGAAGTTTATCACTCAGAATTCTTATAAAAAGTTGGAATCTTTATCCTTCAAATTACCTGATGAGAACTTCAAAAGTGGAAGTATAAAGGTATTTTGATTAAAAAACTTACCAAAAAGGGAAAAATGGACAAATAATTAAAAACGTCCCCAAAAGGAATGCGAGACACTTAATAAAGAACATGGGAGCAGGCCCTAGGGGCTCCGCCCCACTAAGATTGGGACGAGAGAAGGTGACACGATTATTAAGAAAAGTGGGTTTGTGTGGTTGATATTAAATTGATAAAGTAAGAATAAAGTAAGAATGGTTTAGAGTCACACCATCTTTACCAAATTTGATATGTAACAATCTTAGTGGGACTTCACGAAAAGGTAAAATGGGATAACCTTAGCGGGACGGAGGGAGTACTAAATATTTCAATGTTATTAAATGTGTTCAATAATATTACGTACTTTAACTGTAAAACTAATACTATATTTTGATGTGCCCACTATTATTTTATAACTACTTAAATAGTAATACGAATTTATATATTTACCAATATTAGTACTTAAATGTACTTATTAACTACAACTTATGAATTAGGTAAATGGAGATACCAATTTCTACAATGCAATGTAATAAATAATCACAAATACTTGGTGTACAATTAATACAAAGTCATAACTATAATTAATAAATACTCCGTATGTACTACCTTCGTCCCATTTTATTGTCTCATTTGATTTTGACACAATTTTTAATAAAGCTAGTGATTGAAAAGGTAAAATTATTGATTGACATTTGAGTATAATAAAGTGAAATGTTGTGAATCACATATTCCTTTTCAAAAGGGAAATGTGACACTTATTTTCGAACAACTCAAAAAGGAAAGTAAGACATGTAAAATAAGACGGAGTGAGCGATAATTAATACTCCCTCCGTTTCGAAATGAAGTTTCACCTTTTCTTTTTGGATTGTCCCGAAATGAATTTCCCACTTCAACTTCTTTCTATCTTCGGTAAGTTTTTATTATTCATTTACCATTTTACCATCACATCACATCATTGAATTGTGTGTTACCCCTATTTCACTATTAATTACACTTTTTATAATACCCATTTGAGTGCTACATTTTTTAATTACCCAAGAACATTTTTGAAAAATCAACTATACTTCTTATTTTATTTTACATAAAAACTCGTGAAGTTCACTTTGGGACGGTGGGAACAAGGCCTTTCAAAAATAAAATAACTACGTAGTATTAATTTCTAAGACCATTAAGTTAAATATACTAATATTCATACGCTTTTTTAGAAATATTAAACTAATACAAAAAATGTACCTTGTTCATTTTAAAAAATGTACCAATTTAAGTAACCATTAAATATATAAAAACTTTAAACGAGTGGGATGGGCAGCTCACACTTTGGGACAGTTGGGGTAGGGATATGATGGACTCGGTTTGGGCCACCCGGCCCGTGACCCGGCCCGGCCCGCTACTGTGCGGGCCCGGGACCGGCCCGGTCTGGCGGTCCAGGATCGGGTGTGGACCCGAACCGGTAGGGGAAGCGGGGGCGGGCTCGGTTCATGCAAAATGTGATCCGGTCCGGCCGGGTCGGGCCCGGGTCCGGGTCACAACGGCTATATTTTAAAAAAAATGGGCCAAAGATGACCATTGGGGTGGGCTGGGGACAACCCAAACGGCTATATAGCCGTTGGGTGGGCTTCAGGGGGGTCCGGGGGGTTTCGGGGGTGGGGGTTGGAGGTGGGGTTGGGGTAAAAAACCCTATAAATACTCCTAATCTTAAACATTTTCCATATCTCTTCTCCAATTCTTCCTAAATCCTACTTAACTCTCTACTCTCTAATTCTCTTATTCTCCAATATATTATATTTATATATCTACTTTATATTAATTATCTACTTATAATTTATATATACATACATTATATTACTTATATTTCTTATCTAATTATATATTACTTATACATTTATTATATCTATTAATATAGTTGGAATTATATCTAATTAATTTGAAGTCATTATATTACTCCCATCCCAAAGACCGAAAGTCCGAAAGATGTACGAAATCATTCTATTATTTACACTTGTTTAATTTTGTATTAACATTACTTGAAAAAAAATTAATTAATTCTCATTATAGTTAAAGTTAAACTATAATAATTTGATTGTTAGTAAAAAAATAGGTAGTACAAAAAACTAGTTGATTAGTTAATTAGTTTTCACACGAATTGTTTAATTTTTCATTAAAGTAGTTAATTACTTTAATACAATTTTTTATTAATTGCTACCTTTGACTCTAGTTTAAAAAACTAGTTAATTCTCATTATAGTTAAAGTTAAAGTATATTAATTTGATTGTTAGTAAAAAAATAGGTTGTACACAAAACTAGTTAATTCACTAGTTAATTTGACTATTTATTAAACAATAGTATTGCTATAAATTTTGGTTCAATTCACATTTTTTACTTCACATTTCACTCGAATTAAAGTACTATTTAATTACTAGTAATTTGATTAAAGTAAACTTTAAAATAGTAATTTGCTATAACTCGAATTAATAGTTAGATTGAAGTCTTATTTAAAATAGTTTTAATTACTCTTATTAATATATTTGTTGCAATTTAATATTTGTTACATTTTTTAGATGGATCATCCTAGATATTCGGTTGATATGGGTAACCTCGAGCGCAACCGAACGAAAGAACTTGCGAGGAATAGATCCCGCAAAGGTAAATCACATATCGGCTCTTCATCTCAAAGTCGAGATGATTTTGATACGGGTTACGCAAGGAGGGATGAGGATGCGATGACCGATGAACAACTAGAACAAGAATTGCACCGACATAATAGCCGCTTTTTTCAAGACCAACCGAGGACCATTGACGAAGAAGAGCTCGAGGACGACGATGTGGAGGAAGTAATTCCGGAGAGCCACGACGACGACGAGGAGGAGGGTGGTGGCAGCCACGACGCCGACGAGCCTGCCTCATCCCAAGCCGGTACGAAAAAAAGTAAATCTGAACTAATGGCTAATAATTTTTCTAAGTGGAAGGACCCGAATACCGGGAATTGGACCGCAACTTGCAATTGGTGCAAGAAAAACTATAGCTTGGGGATTTCCAGCGGATACGGATCCGCCACAAGACATCTTAAGTCCAAACATCCGGTGGAGTATGCAAAATTAGGCGGCGGAACGGGGAAGCAAACTCAAATATCGAGGTTTGCAAATAACCAACAAGCTTTTGGTAATTTCTCATACAATGATGCACAAAATTTGGCTGGTATGGCTAACTTACTTGTTGAAGAAAATGTGTCTTATTTGTTTTCTGAAAGTCTTGCTTTTAGTGATTATGCACAAACTTGTTTAAATCCGCAATATAGAGGTTATAGTCGCAAAACAGTTAAGAAAGAAATTTCAAGGCTTTATGGTGCGGAAAAGGTAAGGTT